AAAAATCACGTTTTTCATAAAAATATAATCTTACAATGGATATTTTATTGATTTAAACTTACATTTATGAAAACTACATTCAGTGTTATAATTACGATTTGAGTATCCAGTTTAAAGAAATACAAGCAATAATTATGTACTTTAGTAGAGATATTATTCTTAATTAATCATTGATATTATATTTAACCTACATTTTGTTCATAAATAACACAATTATTTTATCCTCGAAAAGAACTTTTTCTAATCATGAGGCGAAATTCCCCACAGTAAGTGTTGCCGTGGGCGAAAAACGAAAACGCTGCACACAACCCAAAAGTACTCCTCAGGGACCAATTGGTGAAAAACTGCGAAAAGGTTTATTACTGTATATACTGTGTTAAACACAACTAATATGAATAAGCTGCCGTAACTGACTGTCAGAAAATGAACGCAAACTCTGTCAAATGCATAAGCAACGCAGTGTAGACTTTTAGGTGGCTATATTTTGCAGACATGTGTTCAGTGTTGCCAAATTTTTTTTTATTTTTTACCCAAAATCACCAGAAAAAGTTACCAAATTCAACCATTGCCACGACAGCCGGTTCTACGTACCGGAATGACCAAGGGCTGTTGTTTCGGCGATCTAACCCCGTTTAGGTCGGCGAAGTATCTCAGAAGTTGTTCGGGCTACATTCGCTACGCTTTCTCCTACTCAGCGCTGGCATCGAGTCAAACCCAGGGCCAGAAACCTACTGTGTATGCCAGAGACGACTACACTACAACTCCACCTCTGTCAAGTGCAATGCCTGAGAGGGGTGGAGTCACCTCAGAGTCTGCTCAGGACTACGGACACATCGGCAGTGGACCACGTCTTTTGTGGCGCCCTGTTGCTGTAACAGAGCAGTCTTCACGGCTAACACCAGTCCACCTGAGCAGTCCCACACAAACACCACAGCACAACAACATAACACAATCGACCACACCACAGCGGCTACAGAACACAGAACACACACAACCACACCACCACCCACACGCCGCCACCAACAACTCCTGGTTCCTCCTACAATCTGCACGGTATGTCAGACCAGGATATTCCGTAATGTGACATCAGTCAAGTGCAACACCTGCCTTGGCTGGTGCCTCTTTAGGGCATGCTCAGGTCTGCGCACCACGCGAGATTGGACGAGGAACTTCGAGGGCCCGTGTTGCGCTGTTCGGTCGCAGACCTCAACTGCGATGCCTCCCGCCACCACCAAGATCGAGGAGATAACCGTCTTCATGGGAAGGCATGGCATATTGATAGCTGCGGTCCAAGAGACGAAGTTGCACAGCAATTCAACACTGTTGAATTGTGCCGGGTACAACGTGCACCGTCGAGATCGCGAGCGGGATAATGGTGGAGGCTTAGCGTTCATTACGCACCACAACGTGCAGTATCGTCTTATCGAAGCAGACATCGACCGAAGGGATACCACCCTAGAATGTCAGGGCATTGCTATCCGGTCAGGCGATGTTGAGCTCGAAATATTTAACGTGTATATACCCCCTGTCCCCTGCTGCCCGGCAGGATATCACCCTGACATAGGTGCGCTCCTCAGAGGTGAAAACCGTATGGTAGTAGGCGACTTTAATGCGCACTACGATCTTTGGCACTCAAGCCTGTCAAACGATCGTAGGGGAACTGACTTGGCTGGACAGATCGACGATTCGACATTCACCAGGATTATGGGCAGCTGCTGCAGCTCGTCAGACATAACAATAGTCAGGGCTGGTCTGATAAACTGCATATCATAGCGACCTAAGCTGATTTTGGCATCAGACCACCTGCCCATAGTCATCTCGATCGATAAACCAACCGACTTTGCTTCCGCGGAGCACCGAACATATATCAACTTTTCTAAAGCTGATTCGAAAGGCTTCGCGGTGAACCTTGGTGAACGTAAGTTCCGCAGGGCTGTCACCGCTGCTGCAGCTCGCTTCGTACCGGCAGGATGTATCACCGACCCACGCCCAAATTTCCCTGCTGAAGCGGCTGTTCTAGGCTGTCACCCTTCGTCAGGCCGATCCCGGAGATCCCCGTATCAGGGATCTCAACGCGGAGATTCGGCAACTAGTAAACGTACATAAGCGGAAGAAGTGGGAAGAGCATCTGAAGACCTGCAACTTCACCTCACTAAATAGAGTTCTCCTTTCTGTGTTTCCGAAGAAGGGGGGCTGAACACCTTTTGCAGAGAACACCTTTCTGCGTAGGCGGCCTGAGGTCGCACTTAGGGATTATAACCCTTACTAAGTAGAATTCTCCTTTCTGTGTTACCGAAGAAGAGGGCTGATATTTCCGCAAAACTTCTTACACTATCACTAAACTATTAAAACTCACAAGCAAATCATAATATAATATGTATATCAAATTAAAGGTAAGAACTTGTGCTTTCTAAATAATACACATTTTTTTAGCATCGATTATGAACCTGTTCCAAAAATGTTTGTTGGGTTCATTTATGCTTTCTCTTATATTTTAATCGCACATATTAATGTAAGGGTTAAGTATCAACAGACTGTGCACAAGTGTTAACGACTTTGACATTTTATACTCTTTTGTATTTCTCACTTGAGTTCTTTGCGCGTTTTAATTTGTTATTCATAAGCTATTATCGCCTGGTTGCTACCGCTTGCTACCACCCGGCATTTTTTCCTCTAAATCAATAAAAGTGAACTTTTATGAAATTAAACCGCATATTTTTAATTTCGAATTCGACCCGAGTTTTTTTGTCAGTAAATAACGCAACATTTTTTGATCCTTTCGAGCCGGGTAGTATATCCCGCCCGCATATATTGTAAATCTACATATATTATAAAAAGACATTGCGAAAGTGAAAAAAAAATATATAGCCAAGTAGAGCTTGTAATTGGTATAAAATACGAAGCGGCAATTGCAGTGATTAAACTGACAAAGTTCAAGAATAAAAGTTCGATTCGTGTTCGAGTGGCATAAAAAGAGTATATCTCAGCGACCTAAGATTGTGCGCGGTTTTGTACGCTCGTCCTCCATTCGACATTACCAAAATTCTAAAAGCCGCTTTGTGTCCTTCATTTGCTCGCTGTAACTACTCTATTTAAAAGCTGCGACTTACGAATAACCTTGAAAGGCAAATTCGAAAAATTTCGAATTCCATAAAAACACGCGATTGAGGGCGCCATTAAACGGTATATGTCATAAAATATTGATGAAGCATTTACTATGGATGTAGAAAACGTTGCGAGTTACTTGCAGCTATTAAATGAATGATGGGTTCAGTTCAATGATGCCCAAGATGCTGTAGACAATTCGTGTGGTGGTGACCACATCGAATTGGAAGAACATGTGCGTATTCAAGCCGAGACTTGGTATTCAACGGCTTAAGCAAATTTTAACCGAGTTCAAAAATGTCGTACCGAATCGCGCCCTACTGTGACTACACCTATCCCTTCAGCCATACGGCTACCTAAAATAAAACTACTTTAGAATAAACTACGACTGCTTCGGTTGGCTCGTTTATTCGGAATGGAATCTTTTTAACAAGCGCTGCCATTTGCTTTTGATGTATCATTTTGTATCTATCGCTGCCAGATTGTTGGCATATTTACAGTGTATTCTACTACTTACGTTCTACTACAACTCAGTGTATTCTACTACTTACATTCTACTACAGCTCGGCCAACCTGACCGGAATGATCGACCTCGATCATGTATTACAAAGTACAAATAAAGATATTTACAAAGTTTTAGTTTTCCTTAAATAAATTTCTTAAAGACCACTATCTACAGTAAGTGCTGCCTTCAGCTTTGAAACCGTTCATTACCTTCCCCATTCCTTCTCGTCCAGAGTTTAATATTACATGCTTCGATAACACTATTATACGGTATTCGCGTGATCTAACCATTTTCTATATCCCTTACTACGTACCGGTCGTTGGGTAGTTTCTTATGTATTTCGTATGGGCCCTTGAATTTGGGTAAGAGCTTCTTATTAAGGCCGATTGTCGTGTCCACGTTTTTGATTACTACGAGTCGAGTGGAGGTCGTTAAGACCGGGTACAATTTTACATATTTCGTAAAAGCATCTATTATGACTAAAATGTGTTTTCGCTTCGATTGCAATGATGGGAGTGGACCTAAGTGATCTAAATGAATTGTGTGGAAAGGTTTAGGGTCCTTAGGGATGTTATGCAATTGTCGGGCGTTCGGGTTATTAGGGGCGGAATACATAATGCACTTTACACAATTTTGCTTAAGGTTGTCGATTTTGTTTTTCATGTTCGGGAACCAGTAGTTCGCCTTTATTTTCTGGTAGCACTTTTCTACTCCTTGGTGACCTAATTTCTCGTGGGTGGTTCGTATTATTTCAGTTTCAAGTTCTTTGGGGACGTATAGCTGTAGAATGACGCCGTCTTTTTTAAACAGCACCCCATTTTCCATAACAAAAACTTTCATATTCTCATTTTCTAGTTTATTCTTTAGGTTAATTATATTTTCGTCTCTGGATTGCATAACTTGCAATTGGTAGTCTAAGTCTTCACTGTCGATTATAGCAATTACATTTCCACAATCAAATTCGTTCCTACTGAGTGCGTCTACGTGCGGCTTTTAGTGCCTGCCCTATGAGATATTGAATAGTTATAGTTTTCTAACTCTAAGGCCCATCTAGCTATCCGGCTATTCACAAGTTTTTTATTAAGTGTCATTGTCAATGAGTTGCAATCAGTTAGTATTTTAAACTTAATCCCTTCTAAGTACACTTGAAATCTTCTTAGTGCGTAAATAATCGCTAATGTTTCCAATTCAAAGCTGTGGTATCTACTCTCAGCGTCGAAAGTTCTTTTCGAAAAAAATGCTATGGGATGGAGGTGGCCATCGTCTTCTTTCTGTAACAATATAGCGCCGAAGCCGTGTGCACTAGCATCACAGTGCAGCTCCGTCTCTTTCTTGTGATTATATATTGCCAGCACTGGGCTCGATACTAATTTTTCCTTGAGGAAAAGCGTTTGTTTTTCTTAAGTAAGTCATATAATGGTCGGGCGAGTACTGAAAAGGATTGAACAAATTTTCTAAAATAGGAGCAAAGTCCAATGAAAGCCTGAAGTTCCCGTTGGTTCTTTGGGGTCGGATAATTCGTTACTGCTTTAATGTGGGATTCGGAAGGGCGTATACCGTGCTCTGACACCGTGTAACCTAAGTATTCAATATCACTATATGCAAATTTGTATTTGCTGAGTTTCATATGAAGGCCATGTTCGGATAGTTTCTCTAATACTTTCTTAACCAAATCGTAGTGGGTATCTATTGTCCTACTACCAATGATGATGTCATCCATATATACTATTATTTCACCCTTCTCAATAAATTCTTTAAAAATTTTTGTTATGAATCTTTGGAAAATGGTTGGGCCATTTTTGAGTCCAAATGGCATTCATATAAACTCATATTGTCCGTTCGGGACTACAAACGAAGTATACTTAATTGAGTTTTCCTCCATTTTAATTTGAAAGAAACCTGACTTCTGATCTAGAAGGGTAAATATTTTATTACCCCCAAGATATTCCAAACAGTCTTCTATCAATGGAAGTGGGTAATTATCTCTCACAATCGATTTATTTAAATTTCAATAATCGATGCACATTCTGGTTTCACCTGATTTTTTCTTCGCAAGAACGATTGGCGATGCATAAGGCGAGTCACTAGGTCGGATAATCTTTTTCTTAAGCAAGTCGTCTATGATTCGATTGACTTCAATTTTCTCGGCAAACGATAAACGCCTTAGTGAACAGAAGGTCGAGTTGTTTGACGTAAGTAAGATCTTAGCTTCGTAATCAATATTCGGAGGTTCTTCAATCTGTTTTCGTACATAAGTGTTATTTTTCATAAGACGGAAGTTGTTTGACCACGCTGAAGATATCTGAGGGTTTACATAAATCTCATCATTTTCACTAATTTCAATATTAAAAACGTCTTTAAGTTCCGGCATTACACTGGCTCTTCTTAAGATTGGAGTGGCTTTACTGGACTTACGTTTACTGTCGCTATCATCAACAGAAATAAGCGGAAATTCGTTTTCTAGTTGATATGTAGTCTGTTTATTTGAGTAGAGCAATTCATTGTTGACGTACAAACGTATGGAAAAAGTATTTAAGAAGTCTCTTCCTAACAATAGTGGAAAAGGCATTTCGTTATCGGTAAGTACGTAAACTCTTAACGGTTAAACAATGTTCTTAAATTTAATAAGAACAAATACGCTCCCTTCCGGATTCACTTTAACTCTCCCGATCCCACTAAATACACGCACACTTCTACTGTATTTTGCTGTACCTGGGATGCACGACTGTCGGATGAAACTACAGGGGCTACCGGTGTCAAGCAAAGAAAAAAAATTGACAAAATCAGGAAGTCAATCACGGTTTCCACTGAAAGAAACACTTACCCTTTCCTTAAAGTGTACAGAACTAAAGTCGCCGTCGTCGTCCAATGCTGCTACAGTCTTGACGGGGCAGTCCTATACTGGTGCTCCTTCGCTCCACACTTAAAACAAGACCCGGGTGCTCGCCTTTTCTCTGCGCAGTCCTTGGAGTAGTGCCCATAGCGCGAACAGTTGTAGCATCTTACTGCTGACATGTCACCAATGGAGTTTGGTGCGCTCACTTTCTTCTCGGTTGCTGCCCGGAGCCTTTCGTATTGTGGTATCAACTTTTTAAATTTTTCGATCGTCGTCACTCCGCTAAAAATCAGTGCTTTGGCCGACTTGTCTTTTAGCCCGTCAATAATGAATTCCAAAAATTCGTATTCTTCGATTGGTGCTGACTGAGCAAGCTCTTGCATGCTCAGAACGTAATGCGTAAGGGATTCTGATTTTTCCCAAACGCGCGTTTCCAATTGACGGAAGATGTCTTTGACACTTAGCGGCCTTTTGAATTCATCCATGAGTTGCTGTTTAAGTTTATTCCACCCGTCGATGTTGCCTATATGTAGCAATATCTGGGCGCTGCCAGTGAGCAATCGTCGCGCGATTAAGAATTTTGCCTCCTCATCGTACCCGTAAGCTTTTGCGCTGTCCTCGAACTCGCTGATCCACCTTCCGATATCGCCCTTATCGTCCCCATTGAATGTGCGGAAGGTTTTTTCTATTTCGGAGAAGTTGATCGGGATGCTGCGGCAGGCTTTACCTGCTTCTAATTTGTTGATTTCAGCTTTTAGCTGCAAAATGCGTAACTGTTTCTCAAGCTGTATTTCGATTGCCGTTAAATCGGAAGTACGGTTCTCGCGGACTGCGGCGTCTGCGTCGGCGTTCTCAGACGCTGCCGCGGTTACTGTTACCACGTTTACGCGTCGCTTTGGTATTGCTGCCGTATTTTGGCGCTCATCGAATACTTCGTGCTGATTTCCAGCTTCCACCGCCTTATTGGCCACGCTTTTGGTTGCCCTTGCGCTTGCACCAGTTTCTGCATCAATCGCCACCATTGTTGCATCGCCCTTGCGCGTGTCACTTACGCCGCCATTTTGATCGCCTGATGCGCCTACGGTGGACGATAGCAGGCTGCGTAGTTGGCATAGTGTATCATTTTGTATCTATCGCTGCCAGATTGTTGGCATATTTACAGTGTATTCTACTACTTACGTTCTACTACAACTCAGTGTATTCTACTACTTACATTCTACTACACGTCCTACGTTCTCTGGCGATTCCACGGCGTAGATCGGTTTTTCGACGCGTTCTCCTCGCTGATCGACAATAATCCGGCCTTATCGGACGGGCAAAAGCTACACTATCTTCGAAGTTGTCTAAAGGGTGAAGCATTGAGAATCATCAGTGGCTTCCAAATTAGTGATGCAAATTACAAGGAGGCATGGGACCTTCTTAGGGCTCCTTATAAAGTGTTGCGCGTTATTGTCGAAGAACACATTAGAGCTAGGGCGTCCTGTCGAGTTTTGGGACGACTGGTTGGTTCATGAGGTAGTTAGCAAATTGGCATTCGAAACAAGGAAGCAGAGGAAGCTATCACTCGAAAGTGATGAGCCGCCGACTTTCGAGCAACTTACGACGTTTTTAGAGATACGGTGTCGATCGCTATCGATGCTTTCCTCGACCACAAGTACAGTGCTAACTAAAGGGAGAATGACCTCAGTAGGTAAAACAGCGAATTTATTCCATGCGATGCAAGAGAATAATGCAGACTGTACTTATTGTAGCGGCCCCCATAAAATTTATAGTTGCGACAAATTTCGAAGTTTAGACGTAAATGCAAAATCAAAGTTCGTAAAGGAATCACGAGTGTGTGTGAACTGCTTAAGTCCGGGTCACTTTAAGGCTAAGTGTAACAGTGCATCTGCATGTAGGGTATGCAGCCAACGCCACCACACGCTGTTGCATAGTGTTTGTTTTGTGAACAATGCCACAACCACTGCTCATTTTGTAGATGATACGTCTCATGTGCCCCCACACTCTGTCGCCGTCGATGCCGCACCAAACGCGAACGAAAATGTTTCATCCGCTGTTAGTCCTCCAACGGACCCCGCCGCTGTACGTGTTTCACCATGCCTGAAATACAGCTCCAACCCGCCGCAACGAACAGAAAGGTTAGTACTATTGTCCACCGCGTGGGTAAAGGTCCACGATTGCGCCGGTCATTGGCAACCCGCCCGTCTACTGTTTGATTCCTGGTCGCATGCCTCGTTTGTAACTGAGGCGTGCGTGCAACGCTTGGGTCTACCGCGAACATCATCCAACGTGCTTATTACGGGCATTGGGTCAACACAAGGAGGTCGATCCAGAGGTGAGACAGTACTAACGCTTTCTTCTTTCTGTTCCAATCGACGCTTCACAGTAAACACACTAATTTTGCCGAAAATAACGAACGACTTGGACGTCATGGACCAGCTCGTTTTCTCGAAACTTCGCAAAGGTCCGTCTGGCACGCCAATGACCCAGCGAACACTCTTTGGTTGGACGTTGTTTGGGAGTGTCGATGGCTCTCATCCCGCTACGCCCCGTGTGCAATCGCTGCATTGTGAGGTGACACTGGAAAGGGCGCTAACCAGGTTAAGGGGACTGGAGGAAGCTCCACAAAAAACGCATCTAACACACGATGAGAGTTTCTGTGAAAACCATTTCGAGTCAACGCATTGAAGAGCTTCTGATGGTCGATTTATAGTTGAGCTGCCCCTGAAATCCGATGTACCGTTGGGGGACTCGCGAACTTTCGCCGTTCAGAACCTGATACGCCTCGAAAGACGACTCGCCCGCGATAACGACTTGCGTGTACGTTACAATGAGTTTATGCAGGAGCTCATTGATATGCGTCATATGGAGCCTGCATCCAAAAATTCGAATCCAGTCTATTACATGCCGCATCATCCAGTCGTAAAAGAGTCAAGTCGTAAAAGAGTCAGGGGTCGTATTTAACGCATCTGCCAAAAGCGCTACTGGAAACTCGCTCAACGACGCGTTATTTGTCGGACCCCAGCTGCAGCAGGATTTATTTTCCATTTTGACACGTTTTCGTACTCATCGGTACGGTGTTACGGCTGACGTCGCAAAGATGTACCGTCAAGTCTGCGTCTCCCCGAAACATATCGATTTACAACGGATCGTCTGGCGTCGTGACCCCTTACTACCGATACAAGACTACCACATGTTGCGCGTGACCTATGGAGTAGCAGCGGCATCACACCTAGCTGTAAAGTCCCTTCAACAGACCGCAAGGTACTCGTCGAACAGTTGTCAGAAAGCCGTTGCTGTCATACTAAACGACTTTAATATGGACGTTTTGCTCACTGGTACATCGTGTAGAGAAGAACTTCAGTCGCTGCAACAAAACGTTTCCGAAATACTTAAGGAAGGTGGTTTTGAACTAAGAAAGTGGGCGTCGAATTGCGCGAAACTAAATAAAACTATTTCGAACTCGTCCGAATCTATACCGCATTACATCGTCGATGGGAAAGATGTTCATGCGTTGGGCCTAATATGGAACACGGACGAAGACCATTTCACATTTGCAGTAAACCTGAAGAGACTGCCCGTTAATTTGACTAAAAGAGCGTTTTTGTCCGATCTCAGCACACTATTTGATCCTCTGGGACTACTTGCTCCAGCAACCATACGTTCCAAGATGTGGTTTCAGGACATTTGGCGCGTCAACTTTGGCTGGGATGACGTTATTCCTGACTCCGTCGCCACAAAGTGGTCAGAACATCGCACAGAGCTGCTTCTTCTTTCAAACTTTAAAGTAAATCGGTGGCTCGGCACCGGAATAACTGGGTCAGTTACGGAACTGCATGTGTTCGCCGACGCCTCAGAACGCGCTTACGCCGCCGTAATGTATGCGCGCACCTTACAAAAAGATGGCACGGTGACAGTTTCGTTGATCTCGTCGAAGACAAAGGTGCGCGGCGCACCTCGCTGCTAAATTGGTGCGGACCGTATTGCGTAGCTGGGACGAACTCCGCTACCCTTTGTATGCGTGGACCGACTCGACCATCACATTGGCATGGATACAAGCGCATCCCAGCAGATGGATGACCTTCATTGCGAACCACGTAGCTGATATCCAGGAGGTTCTGCCTCCTGATTGTTGGAACCATGTCCACTCAGAACAAAATCCTGCAGATTGTGCTTCAAGGGGTATCAGTCCGTCCGAACTACTCCATCATAAGCTGTGGTGGACTGGCCCTGAGTTTTTGTTAGGCGCTGACATATTCTGGAAGCAGACGTCGTCGAAGAATCATACAACTGAGTTGGGCGTTCGAAGCAAGGTTCACGCTCATGTAACAAGTATGAAGGATCAATGGTCAATAATAACGAAATATTCGTCGTACTCCAAGTTGCGGCGCATCATCGCTTACGTGTTACGTTTTTTCTTCAACGCTCGAGTTAGCACTACGCACAACGCTAGAAAGCATCTTGGTCCTCCGAGTTTCCAGGAAATAACTGAGGCTGAATTCCGATTAATAAGGTATACGCAACAGTTTTCTTTTTCTCCAATTCCACTTCGCAGTAGTCTTTTGCGTTTGCAGCCGTATCTCGACAAGAAAGATATCCTGCGCGTTGGAGGCAGATTGAGAAATGCAACGGTTACTCCTGACGTAAGGAATCCTATCATCTTGCCAAAGAAATCTCCGCTGGCAAAACTAATAGTCTCCGATATGCACAAGTTTACGCTGCACGCTGGACCCCGCATTATGAAAGTTGTGTTGCAACGTCGATTTTGGGTTTTTGGGGCTCGAAGTCTACTACGTGCCGTATACCACAAGTGCGTGAAATGCATCTGCATGAATCGCAACCTCGCCACGCAAATGATGGGGGATTTACCTGCGACTCGAACTACTTACGCACGTTCTTTCACCCGTACCGCTGTTGATTTTGCTGGGCCGTAGTTGTATAAGTTTACCCACGGAAGAGGAGCGAAGGCCACCAAAGGATACATTTGTTCCTTTGTTTGTATGTGCACCGGCGCAATGCATCTGGAGTTTGTTGGAGATCTGTCCACATCAGCATACCTTAACGCATTCAAGAGATTCGTCAATCGTAGAGGCTACTGTAAGATTATGACATCGGATAACGGTGCGAATTTTGTTGGTGCCGAAAGGGAGCTTGGAGTCGCGTTTCAACAGTGTATGGCTGACACCAAACTACGTAATTTTTTTACCGATTCGAATATCGAGTGGCATTTTAACCCTCCTTCTGCACCTCATATGGGCGGGTACTGGGAAGCCGGTATCAAGCGCATTAAGTATCACCTAAAACGCGTACTGGGTGAAAATCTGTTATCATACGAAAAGTTCAACCCGCTGTTGACAGAAGTGGAGGCTTGCATCAACTTCCGCTCTCTCTGTGACAACCCTACGGACGCTGGCGACATAGAAGCTCTAACTCGCGGCCATTTTATTGTTGGAGAGCCACTGAAGTCAGTCCCAGAACCTGAGGGTGTGGCAATCAATTTCAGCCATGAGGCGACATTTCTGGCGCCGATGGAAAGACGAATACCTCGTGAGTCTACAACGTCGCACTAAATGGTTCCGTTCCTCGCGTAACATTGAAGAAGGTGATGTAGTTGCTGTCTTCAGCGAGCCTACTCCTCCGACAAAGTGGTCGCTTGCGCGAGTTAAGAAATGCCACCCTGGTAATGATGGGCACGTAAGAGTAGTCACTTTACAAACGCCGCATGGAAGTTGGTTCATCCTATAGCGAAACTCCTTCCTACGAAAGGCGATCTATTTCATGATGGAAATTAGTATTATCATATATGCATAAGTGCCATTTAGAACCTCCAGTATTGTAAGCTTGTGCATAATACTTTTATGTTTAATTTTTTTTTAATTGAACGTATCAAGATAGTTCAAAGGCGGCGGAAATTTTGGGTCCATTTATGCTTTCTCTTATATTTTAATCGCACATATTAATGTAAGGGTTAAGTATCAACAGACTGTGCATAAGTGTTAACGATTTTGACATTTTATACTCTTTAGTATTTCTCACTTGAGTTCTTTGCGCGTTTTAATTTGTTATTCATTAGCTATTATCGCCTGTTTGCTACCGCTTGCTACCACCCGAATTTTTTCCTCTAAATCAATCAAAGTGAACTTTTATGTAATTAAACCGCATATTTTTAATTTCGAATTCGAGTTTTTTGTCAGTAAATAACGAAACAATGTTATTTTATGAAAAAATTACAACATCTTTTGTTTTTTAATATTTTTGGCTTAAATATATAAACAAGCATACACATTTTATATATCAACTTGAAGATAAATTAATTGTCTTTATCCTTACATCCTTACCTTTTTAATCGGTTACGTAGTTTAGAAAATATTAATATTTTAAAATATCGCATTTTTTTACCTCATATAGCTTCTTTACTTTTCAATTGCGCCAATATTTGAAATCAGCGTAAAAAGTATTATCGATCTGCATTTTTAGCTTTTGCATAGCTGAACGGTTGGTTATCTTGATGTATGCTTAACTTTTTCTCACCTTGTCTTCTAGGCTGCTGCATATATAAAAAACCTGTAAATTTTGGGGAAAGCTCTTCTTCTGATGAAGAGGAGTGTGAACATTGTTTTGGTCACCCTGAAAAGCGTCGCAAAAATATAGAGAAGCATAATAGTTCTAAAGAACCTGAACAAATAGCCAGCCAAGGTAAGAATTATCATGATCATGACGAAGGATCCGAAAATGTTGCAGCTTCTTCCCTGATTCCAGTACCAGTAGCAGTCTCTTCTACAGTTCCGAAAAAATAGCTATGAAAATCCTTCAAACTAATCAGACGGAAATTTCTACCCTCTTGAATAGGAAGTTTGTTTTTTATCAGATATAAAATTCAATGTCAAGTGTACTACTTTTCCAAAAAATATTTTTTTTTTTTTATTTCATTTAATGCACGCTTATATCGCAATACAAATGGTTATTACAAATTAAACGAAATAAACTTGTTTTTTTTTTTTAAGTTTTATTAAGTTTCACCTGTGTGTAATCAAATCTTGTAATACATTTTTAATCAGCTTCCGGATGGGCTAGAGATTCGATACTTCAAGCTTAGCTCAGAACAGGAGAACAAGACGATATGAAAGAAGAATTGATTTCCTACTTGGTCCAGGTATCGAGATATTTGGCAAAACCGTATTTATGGTCCGATTTGGTTCTTATTTGAAACGTATATTACATAAAAAGGAATAACTTTACGAACAATTTAACCGTTAGGTGGCTTTTCTTTACTTCATTATGGGCTCAAAAAAGGCGGTAAGGAGCATATCGAGGGTTTATATTCAATACCCTTTATCTGCAATTTCCACAAGATTCAGCTTCTGATATAAAAATCCACCAAAGAATTAAATGTGATCGATGCTGTCAATGCTAACCTTATAAATAGCTTGCTGGTAGCTTAAACTAGGTTCACATATAAGTAGATTATCCTCATTTTCGAGCTTAACACCCTAATCTGTAATTAGAACAAGAGATTAGCCATATTAAATTCGTCCCTTGTTAATCTGTACTTATTAAATAATCTCAGATTTAACCGATAACTTTTCGGTGTCCATCTTAGCTTTATCGATTGTTTTTGCGAAAAAGAGGAGAAATGCCAAATGTAAAAGTAAACAAAAATGGACGCTAGCAAGGAAGAGGTTTGTAAAGGTATTTTTAAAAAAATGTTAAGTTAAAATATATTTATATTGCTTATTATAGCATAAAAACGTGATCACGGTGGCACAGAGAAGAAACATAACTTTTCCTTGAGATGTGAGAATAACAAGCACAACAAATTTGACGGCTAATAATCTGAGATTTGCCTGTGTGAACGGGGTGATTAAAATACGAGCTTTGATTGTGATAATATTGATATGTTAACATAGTTTAAAATTCGTCCCTTGTTAATCTGTAATTATTAAATAATCTCAGATTTAACCTATAACTTTTCGGTGTCCATCCTAGCTTTATCGATTGTTTTTGCGAAAAAGGGGAGAAACGCCAAATGTAAAAGTAAACAAAAATGGACGCTAGCAAGAAAAAGAGGTTTGTAAAGGCATTTTTAATAAAATGTTAAGTTAAAATATAATTATATTGCTTAATATAGCAGAAAAACGTGATTACAGTGGCACAGAGAAGAAACATAACTTTTCTTTGAGATGTGAGAATAACAAGCACAACAAATTTGACGGCTAATAATCTGAGATTTGCCTGTGTAAACGGGGTGATTAAAAAACGAGCTTTGATGGAGATAATATTGATATGTGAACATACTTGTAGGTCGGTGTCATGCATGAATGCATGGTGCAATACTACAAGGTGTATTGTACGTTGTTACAGCGCCAACGTGTACGCAATGTTGTATTTTGGAAGTACGCGAGAATCGGGCAATAAATGAAGCCCATTTACGAAATAGTGGTAGACTTCCTACTTTTTTGTTACCTTTTTAACTACTACAACAGAAAATGAAAGAATTTGTATGCAATGTATTGAATAATTTAATCCTTTGCACTAATTTTGACTTTATGATTTTTATGTTAAAGTTAAATTTGGGGTAGGAGGATTTTTTATATTTTTAAAACTACTTTAGCAAATCATAAAGCACAATACATACTATCCGAACATTAAGCTAAATATATATTTTTTAGAAGCTTTTATTTACTTTCACCTGTGTAATCAAATCTCGAAATCCATTTTAACCAACTTCCCGATCAGATAGAGACTTGAAGCTGCAAACTTAGCTCAGAACTCGATGACAATAGGTGTGTATAGTAACTTCTCCAGTAGAAAATTGCAGCGAGAGCGTAAAAGCAAAATAGAGCGTGAAATTGAGAAGAAGAGAAAACTAGCAGAAAAAGTTATTGAACACAAAACTAATAAAAACTTGCAAGTGAATAGTTGTTGCACTGTTTTGACATTCTGCTGTAAACATTTTACTATTTATAAAGCAGTTTTAAACTCTGCATTGTACACAAGCACTTACACAGTCCAGTACATCAAATATTTTGATTTCCATTCATTTTACTTTTGTTTATGCCTAAGCACTTCAACAAATGTCGGCTTTTGACATTTATTCTTCTTCTGCTAGTAAAATTTTCGCTAGCGAGAATTTGCAGCTCTCCCGTGTTATTACGCTTGTTACTATACACACCTAAGGCAATATGAAAGTTGAACTAATCCGCTAGGTGGCGCAGGTGTCGAGATATTTGAAAACCCGTATTTATGGTCCGATTTGGTTCATATTAATAACGTGTATTACTTAGATGGAAACAAAAATTGTTCCGTAAATTTTACTTTTAGTTTTTTTAACAATTAATGAAAGCTTGTTAAAAAAAAAATTAATTACTTTTTTTATTCAGTAACAGGTAATTCATGCTTCTGTTTATTTCAAAGGAAGAAGTGTTTGAGTTCTGGTATCTCCTGAGTGGTACAGCAGTGGAAAAAAATGAGAAAATTTTAGGACTTCTATTACAGCCAAATTCACGAAAGCAATTTAAGTGAAAAATGATTTTAATTTTTTGAATTTTAGATGGAAAGTGACTGAAAATAAGAAGTCATTTTCCATTTAAATTGCTGGTGAAACTGGCTGTTAGAGGCATTGCCTGATTTAAAAATGTGAATGAAATGCGCGCACCTTACAAAAAGATGGCAGGGTGACAAAGGTGGCGCCGCTTAAATCAACGACTCTACCGCGTCTAGAGCTATGCGCGGCGCACCTCGCTGCTAAATTGGTGCGGACCGTATTGCGTAGCTGGGACGAACTCCGCTACCCTTTGTATGCGTGGACGGACTCGACCATCACATTGGCATGGATACAAGAGCATCCCAGCAGATGGATGACCTTTATTGCGAACCGCGTAACTGATATCCAGGAGGTTTTGCCTCCTGATTGTTGGAACCATGTCCACTCAGAACAAAATCCTGCAGATTGTGCTTCAAGGGGTATCAGTCCGTCCGAACTACTCCATTATAAGCTGTGGTGGACTGGCCCTGAGTTTTTGGTAGGCGCTGACCTATTCTGGAAGCAGACGTCGTCGAAGAATCATACAACTGAGTTGGGCGTTCGAAGCAAGGTTCACGCTTATGTAACAAGTTTGAAGGATCAATGGTCAATAATGACGAAATATTCGTCGTACTCCAAGTTGCGGCGCATCATCGCTTACGTGTTACGTTTTTGCTTCAACGCTCGAGTTAGCACTATGCACAACGCTGGAAAGCATCTTGGTCCTCCGAGATTCCAGGAAATAACNGCTTCAACGCTCGAGTTAGCACTACGCACAACGCTGGAAAGCATCTTGGTCCTCCGAGATTCCAGGAAATAACTGAGGCTGAATTCCGATTAATAAGGTATACGCAACAGTTTTCTTTTTCTCCAATTCCACTTCGCAGTAGTCTTTTGCGTTTGCAGCCGTATCTCGACAAGAAAGATATCCTGCCCGTTGGAGGCAGATTGAGAAATGCTACGGTTACTCCTGACGTAAGGAATCCTATCATCTTGCCAAAGAACTCTCCGCTGGCAAAACTAATAGTCTCCGAATTCCACAAGTTTATACCGCACGCTGGACCCCGCATTATGCAAGTTGTGTTGCAACGTCGATTTTGGGTTGTTGGAGCTCGAAGTCTACTACGTGCCGTATATACCACAAGTGCGTGAAATGCATCTGCATGAATCGCAACCACGCCACGCGAATGATGGGGGATTTACCTGCGACTCGAACTAACGCACGTTCTTGTATAAGTAGTTGTATAAGTTTACCCACGGAAGAGGAGCGAAGGCCACCAAAGGATACATTTGTTCCTTTGTTTGTATGTGCACCGGCGCAATGCATCTGGAGGTTGTTGGAGATCTGTCCACATCAGCATACCTTAACGCATTCAAGAGATTCGTCAGTCGTAGAGGCTACTGTAAGATTATGACATCGGATAACGGTGCGAATTTTGTTGGTGCCGAAAGGGAGCTTCGAGTCGCGTTTCAACAGTGTATGGCTGACACCAAACTACGTAATTTTTTTACCGATTCGAATATCGAGTGGCATTTTAACCCTCCTTCTGCACCTCATATGGGCGGGTACTGGGAAGCCGGTATCAAGCGCATTAAGTATCACCTAAAACGCGTACTGGGTGAAAATCTGTTATCATACGAAAAGTTCAACCCGCTGTTGACAGAAGTGGAGGCTTGCATCAACTCCCGCTCTCTCTGTGACAACCCTACGGACGCTGGCGACATAGAAGCTCTAACTCGCGGCCATTTTATTGTTGGAGAGCCACTGAAGTCAGTTCCAGAACCTGAGGGTGTGGCAATCAATTTCAGCCATGAGGCTACATTTCTGGCGCCGATGGAAAGACGAATACCTCGTGAGTCTACAACGTCGCACTAAATGGTTCCGTTCCTCGCGTAACATTGAAGAAGGTGATGTAGTTGCTGTCTTCAGCGAGCCTACTCCTCCGACAAAGTGGTCGCTTGCGCGAGTTAAGAAATGCCACCCTGGTAATGATGGGCACGTAAGAGTAGTCACTTTACAAACGCCGCATGGAAGTTGGTTCATCCTATAGCGAAACTCCTTCCTACGAAAGGCGATCTATTTCATGATGGAAATTAGTATTATCATATATGCATAAGTGCCATTTAGAACCTCCAGTATTGTAAGCTTGTGCATAATACTTTTATGTTTAATTTTTTTTAATTGAACGTATCAAGATAGCTCAAATGCGGCGGAAATGTTGGGTCCATTTATGCTTTCTCTTATATTTTAATCGCACATATTAATGTAAGGGTTAAGTATCAACAGACTGTGCATAAGTGTTAACGATTTTGACATTTTATACTCTTTAGTATTTCTCACTTGAGTTCTTTGCGCGTTTTAATTTGTTATTCATTAGCTATTATCGCCTGTTTGCTACCGCTTGCTACCACCCGAATTTTTTCCTCTAAATCAATCAAAGTGAACTTTTATGTAATT